AGTTGATTGAGGATTAATTCCTTGGGGAAGAGAACTTTCTTCCTTAGAGAGAGTCCTTTCTTTCTTTCTTTCTTTCTTTCTTTCTTTCTTTCTTTCTTTCTTTCTTCCTTCCTTCCTTCCTTCCTTCCTTCCTTCCTTCCTTCCTTCCTTCCTTCCTTCCTCCCTCCCTCCCTCCCTCCCTCCCTCCCTCCCTCCCTTACTTTCCCAAACCTGACAAGTATGCCTTCTGTGGAAGTTGCAGTGTTTGGAAATGGACTTGAAGGAGCGTGATCTTCTTAGCACAGAGTTTAAATCCTCATATGTGATATTTGCAGCTACAATTCTTTATGCAAAACAATGGAGATGAAGCAAAATTCATTCATTCATTCATGAAGGAGTGAACTAGGAAAGAGTTAAGGAACGTAGACAAAGAATTGGTTTTTTTTTAAAAAAAAACACCACCGAGAAAAATACATCCTTCTGTTAAGTTCTGAAAAGATCGGAATTGAAGTATTATAAATGCGATAAATTGCTTTCTTTTATTGTAATGCTGCTTTGATTTCCTACTTTTGTTGTGAATTGCCAGGCTTTAAGGGAAATTATGAATAAATAAAAACCCACAAATGTGGGGAGAAAAAGAAAATCAAAATGTGTTCCAGTAATTTGATGAACCCTGAATACTTGGATGAGAGGAAGATTAAATCATGTGAGGGTTGTTGTTGCTTAAAAAAAAGAGAGAGAGAGATTATTTTTATATAACTTTATGAGAATCACAGCCAGTAAATAATAACACTGTTTAAAATCAGGGCTCTGGGACGTGAAGCACAGCCCTGCTAGATCAGGCTGAATTCCAGCAGATGCTGTACTGTGTTCTGTTTCCAATGAGGGTCAGCCAGATGTCCAGCAGGGCATGAAGGTGATGCCCATCATAGAATTGTAGAGTTGGAAGGGACCCCAAGGGTCATCTAGTCCAACCCCCTGCAATGCAGGAATATGCAGCTGTCCCAGGTAGAGATTGAACTTGCGACCTTGGTGTTCTCAGCACTCATGCTCTAACCAGCTGAGCATAATAATAATAATAATAATAATTTATTATACCCCGCCCATCTGGCTGGGCTTCCCAATAATGCATCAAACATTCAAAGCTTCCCTAAACAGGGCTGCCTTCAGATGTCTTCTAAAAGTCTGGTAGTTGTTGTTCTCTTTGACATCTGGTGGGAGGGCGTTCCACAGGGCGGGCGCCACTACCGAGAAGGCCCTCTGCCTGGTTCCCTGTAACTTGGCTTCTCACAGCGAGGGAACCGCCAGAAGGCCCTCGGTGCTGGACCTCAGTGTCTGGGTAGAACGATGGGGGTGGAGACGCTCCTTCAGATATACTGGGCCGAGGCCGTTTAGGGCTTTAAAGGTCAGCACCAGCACTTTGAATTGTGCTCGGAAATGTACTGGGAGCCAGTATAGGTCTTTCAAGACCGGTGTTATGTGGCCTCAGTGGCCACTCCCAGTCTAGCTGCGGCTTTCTGGATTAGTTGTAGTTTCCGGGTCACCTTCAAAGGTAGCCTCACATAGAGCACATTGCAGTAGTCCAAGTGAGAGATAACTAGAGCATGCACCACTCTGGTGAGACAGTCCACGGGCAGATAGGGTCTCAGCCTGCGTACCAGGTGGAGCTGGTAAACAGCTGCCCTGGACACAGAATTGACCTGTTCCTCCATGGACAGTTGTGAGTCCAAAATGACTCCCAGGCTGTGCACCTGGTCCTTCAGGGGCACAGTTACCCCATTCAGGACCAGGTAGTCCTCCACACCTGCCAGCCCCCTGTCCCCCCAGGATCTGTCTTGTCAGGATTCAACCTCAATCTGTTAGCCGCCATCCATCCTCCAACCACCTCCAGAGACTCACACAGGACCGTCACTAGTTCTGATTTGAAAGAGAGGTAGAGCTGGGTATCATCTGCATATTGATGGACACCCAGCCCAAACCCCCTGATGATCTCTCCTAGCAGCTGCATGTAGATGTTGAAAAGCATGGGGGAGGGGGCAGAACCCTGAGGCACCCCACAAGTGAGAGCCCTGGGGTCTGAACACTCATCCCCCACCACTACTTTCTGGACGTGGCCATAAGGAAAGGCTGCCTGGTGGATCAGGCCCATGGCCCAGGCATTCTAGCATGCTGTTCTCAGAATGGCCAACCAAATGCCTATGGGAAGCATGCAAGGAGGAGAGCACTCTCCTTACTTGTGACTCCCGAGAAATATGTGGCCTCCAAACAGCGGAGGAAGAACATAGGCACCAACAAGGCCATTGATAGCCTTATTATCATCCATGAATTATTTCATCGCACCACTTGTTGGTTCCTGCAATAGTGGCAACAGGAGTACTGCATAGCTCTAATATATACAAACATTCTCTTGATTCCGTGATGACTTTGTTGCTGAAATGATTCCTCGTTCACACACCAACCAACTAATCCTTCCTCTCTCTCTCTTTATCGTTATGTTGTTTCTGTTGGCCTTTATTGCTTTTGCTTTCTAATACAGCACAAAGGTTGGTGGGGGTTTTTTTTTGGGGGGGGGGAGGAGAGAGCCCCATTAGCCAATTTACCTCCAGGCCTGCCAATGCAAAGCAGCCTTCCATCCAAATAATATTGGTTGGAAGCAGAGCTTTGCATAAGTGGTTTGGACAATTGCTCCGTTTTCCTAATTACTTTTAGGATTAATAATTAAACAGGAAGGCCATTCTCCCCCGGACAGTAATTTTCTGGAATCGCATACGGAACGGGCGGTAAATGAATAAATAATATCTCCTTGGCTCGTGGAGCTCAAATCGTGGCTGAGTGCTAGAGTCAACCGCTTAAAAAAGAAAAGGAAAAGAACAGTTGACATCTGCAAATGACAATTCAATATTTTAATAATAATAAAATGCTATTAGTACGAATGATCCCACAAAAGTTGTTTTTTCCAGGGGAAAACCCCAGCATGGAACCGTGAGTCCAATTTAATAGAAAATGTTAATGTTACCATCATTAATAGAATCCTATGCATATTTAGAAGCAAGCCCCACTGTGTTCAATTATGCTTCCTCCTGACTAAGTGTCTCTCAGATTGCCGCCTCCGGGTGAGGGTGGGGGAAGGGGTTGGCCACATCCATGCCGTACATTTAAAGCACCGTTGTGCTCCTTTAACAGTCACGGCTCCCCCCCCCAAGAATCATGGGAACTGTAGTTTGCCAAGGGTGTTGACCTCACAGACCTAGAGTTCCTGGCACATTTAACAAGCTGCAGTTCCCAGGGGTCTTCAGGACTGCTGAAACACTGAAAGAGTGCTTTAGGGTTTTCAGAGAGGGGTGTGTGCAGAAAGAGAGAGAAAGAGATAGCCCCGTTATTTGGGGGATCTGACCCTGCTCGCTGCTAGACTGTATCCTCTGAGAGGTTACCCCTAAATGCCCGCGGCCTTCGATGGAAGAAAAGCTTCTCTGCTCCCACTCAAAGGAGAATGGCGCTACATTCAAAGTATATAGCCAGGCCTTTAAGGTAAAGGCAAAGGGACCCCTGACCCTTAGGTCCAGTCGTGGCAGACTCTGGGGTTGCAGAGCTCATCTCGCTTTATTGGCCGAGGGAGCCGGTGTACAGTGTGGCCCGCATGACTAAGCCGCTTCTGGTGAACCCGAGCAGCGCACAGAAACGCCGTTTACCTTCCCGCCCGAGTGGTACCTATTTATCTACTTGCACTTTGACATGCTTTTGAACTGCTAGGTTGGCAGGAGCTGGGACTGAATAACGGGAGCTCGCCCCATCATGGGGATTCGAACCGCCGACCTTCTGATCGGCAAGTCCTAGGCTCTGTGGTTTAACCCACAGCGCCACGCCTTTATTTCACTGCAAATTAAATCAGGCTCACCCTCCCTCTTTTGTTATTGTACCTCCTCTTCTAAGCGCAGGGGCGAAGCGTGGGGCCCCCTGAGAGGTCGCATCCCCGGGTACACAATTTTTGGGGAGCACAAACCAGATGCCCTTGTAGAGGGATTCCTCTCCATCTCTCCCTGCTGCTGGGGGGGGGTGTCTCTGGGCCCCAGATCCAGGACCGGCCTTGTTGCCATGTCCCCGGCCCGCTTCCTGAATAATAATAATAATAATAATAATAATAATAATTTATTTGTACCCCGCCCATCTGGGCAGCTTCCAACAAAGATTAAAAATACATTAAAATGTCACACATTAAAAACCTCCCTGAAAAGGGCTGCCTTCAGATGTCTTCTAAATGTCAGGTAGTTGTTTATGTCTTTGACATCTGGTGGGAGGGTGTTCCACAGGGCGGGCGCCACTACCAAGAAGGCCCTCTGCCTGGTTCCCTGTAGCTTTGCTTCTCGCAGCGAGGGAACCGCCAGAAGGCCCTCGGTGCTGGATCTCAGCGTCCGGGCAGAATGATGGGGGTGGAGACGCTCCTTCAGGTATACTGGGCCGAGGCCACCTGGCCTGCATCAATTAACTTCCAGGCCCAATTCAAAATGCTGGTTTTGACCTATAAAGCCTTAAATGGCCCAGGACTGCAATACTTCAAGGACCGCCTTCTTCCATATGAACCAGCCTGGACCCTGAGATCATACTCTGAGGCCCTTCTCCTTGTGCCTCTTCTATATGAGGTCAAAAGGCTGGCAACACAAGAATGGATTACCTAGTCCAGGGGTCGATAAGGTTTTCCTCGCCTGGGCCAGTTCACTCCAGCGGAGATTGCTCCGTGGGCCGGATTGCGTGCATGACCGCAATTTCTGGCATCTGCGCAGACACGATTCCCGGCGTCTGCGCAGACGCGATTTTCGGCATCTGAACATCCGCAGACACGATTTCCAGCACTGCAGAAGTGGGTCCCCATGCCATGCTGTGCTGGTTTAGCGCAGCGTGCAGGGACTCGCCGAGTAGGCGGCTCGGTTTGGGGGCAGCTCGTGGGCTGGTTAAACGACCCCCGTGGGCCGCTTGTGGCCCACGGGCCTTAGGTTGCCTATCCCTGACCTAGTCCAACCCCTGCAATACAGGAATATGCCGCTGTTCCATACGGCAACCTTGGCATTATCAGGACCATGCTCTAACCAACTGAGCTATCCAGCATTTCGTTCCTGTTTTGTTATACATTTTGTGTTTTTTATTTTTTATTTTTATGCTGTGAAACCACCTTGAGATGAGATCTTTAGATGAGAGCAGACCCTCCAAGTGTCCATATTTTCCAGGGACAGTCCCAGACTTAGAGAAGCCATCCCGGTTTCTGAATTGAACCTGGAATGTCCCACTTTTCCTTAGGACGTCCCTATTTTCATTGGGGAAATGTTGGAGCGTATGGAGTTATCTGACCTTCCAAGCTGTCTGAAGGCAATCCTTTATAGGGAAGGTTTTTAAAATGTTTAATGTTTTTATTATGTTTTTATATATGTTGGAAGCTGTCCAGAGTGGCTGGGGAAAGATGAGTAGGGTATAAATATTAAAATTATCATTATGGAATTGGACATCCCTATTTTCTTTGGAGAAATGTTGGGAGAAATGTATGTGAAAGACAGTATACAAAATTAGTAGCAGTAGTATTAAATAATAAAAAAATAAAATAAAATAAAATAAAATAAAATAAAATAATAATAATAATCTCCCCATCACTCCATGTGAACTGCCTATGCGTCCTGGAAAATTCTCTGGGATCCACAATGCACAGTGGTCCTGGGGACAGGACAGCCCAATGGGCTCCTTAGCAAACAATGGATGTGTGCGACTTCTATTAAGTCTTTTTATCAGGTGGGTTCCTTTTAAGGCAAACCCAGAAGCCCCGATGTTTCCCTCTTCCACCACTAACAAGGGTGTCCTGGAAGCAGAAAGCTTGAAATAACCACTGCTGTGTGAAATATCCCTGCTGCCCTTTGCCACAGCTTGTGTTTCTCGTTGAATTTTCCGGCGTCCCCCCTTCTGGCTTGCAGAATCCACCCCGAGTGCCGCCCACAACGCACCCCCTTTGTCTCTCCTGGCAGCTACATCCTCAAAGGATTCCAGCGAGCTAATGAGCCGTGCCTTTCCTTTCCCTGCAACCATATTAGATATCCTTAATTAAGCCGTGCTTTCCCAAGTGTCACTCCCATGTTCTCTTTCAAGAGGCCTAAGTCTTCTCCCCACCAACCAACCCGCTTCCCCCCTCCCATGCGACAGACCCCTGCGACATCGCCGCATGTCCCCCGCTTTAAGAAAAGGCAAGAGAGAGGAATGCCACACAGAGAGGTATTGTCTCGCTTTCCTTGCCCAGATTCAGAGGGGCCCGCTGGGGATACAAAGAGCAAAGCCTTAGGTGGAAGACCCAGAAGTTGGCGGGGGGGGGAGGGGAGGAGAACTCGAGCCAACAGAACAACTTTCCCCCCAAATATCTGAGGGACTACCCTTTTCCCTACGGACTTTCCCGGGGGGAGTTCAATTTTCGAAAGGAACACGGATGCTCTATGAGTGCCAGGGACCCCACGGGCTCTTGCCACAGCTTGGCAGAGATTGCTGCAGGCCCCCAGCTTTTGTAACTGGCTACCAGTATGCACTGATCCTCCACCCTGGGAAGGTGATGGGCCACGCGGACGCCCTCAGCAGGCTACTACTACCAGAGACAGGCCCCGACCCAGAGTCGGGTTATGAGCCTGGAGCTGCTTCCCGACCGCCCCAGAAGTTGTGCACCATTCCACGAAAGATAGGGTCATCTCTTGGGTCCTGGACTAGGTGTGGAGGGGATGGCCCAGCAGCAGCCCCGGGCCAGAATTCGATGGCTACACAACCCGCAAACATGAACTGTCAGCCCACAAGGGGTGCCTGTTATGGGGAAGTAGGGTTGTCATTCCCCAGCCCCTCCGCAAAAGGGCCCTCACAGCCCTACACGATAAACACCCAGGGGTAGTGAGAATGAAGGCCCTTGCCAGGAGTTATGTGTGGTGGCCGGGGATCGACGGAGAGATAGAGGTCTGGGTCAAACACTGCCAGACCTGCCAAGAATCCTGCCCGGATCCCCCAAGGGCCCCAGTCCAGTCCTGGGAGTCTGCCTGAGCACCATGGTCACGCCTGCACGTGGACTTCACTGGCCCCTTCCAGGGAAAAACATTCTTCATAGTGGTGGAGTCCTACACCAAATGTACCATCCACTTCTATGGCCTCAGCCATCCAGGTACTATGTAGGCTCTTTGCAACCCATAGTCTCCCTGACACCCTCGTCTCGGACAACGGAACCGCATTTACATCAGAAGAATTCCAGACCTTCACAGTGCAGAACGCCATCCGCCACATCCGCTCGGCAACATTTCACCCTGCCACCAATGGCCAAGCAGAGTGCATGATGCGGACCACAAAGGACACCCTCCGCTGCATGACTCAAGGGGACTGGGAGTACTGCCTCACCGCATTCCTTCTAGCACAACACAGCACAATGATTGGCCGGAGCCCCGCTGAACCACTAATGGGCCGGCGCCTTGCAATCAGACTGGACTGCCTTCACCCCAACAGAGCTCAGGATGAGGTAGTGGCGGGGAAAGGCAGGAACCACTGGGCCTTCGTGGCCCAGGACCCAGGACCCAGTGTACAGAACGAATTTTGGGGCAGGCCCGGCATGGGTACCCGCCAGTCACCAGGGTGACTGGCCCCGTGTCGTACGAGGTGCTAACGGGGGGGAGGGGGGCAATGCTGGCGCCGCCACTGCGACCAGATATGGCAACGATTCCCAGGAGAAAACCGGGAGGAGGGTGGGACAGAGGGGTCCCACAGCTGGGTGGTGAGGCCCATAGAGCAGGAGGTGTGGGCAGGGGAGGCAGAATTAGTAAGTACAGAGGGGACCCCCGAGGCTGAAAGGATACCGGAACCAGAGTCGTGACCGAGCGGGCCGGTTGTGCCAGACCAAGCAGCCCCATCACAGCCAGCTGCCTCGAAACACAAGCCAGAACCAGAACCCCTGACCAAGGAACACCTCAGGCCTCAATGCATACGTAGGCAGCTGGCGTTTCAAAGGCTCAGCTAATTAGGAGATGGTGTGTGGAACAAGGAGTGCGAAAGGATGGAGCTGGACCTTATTTCAGAGTCTAGGAAGTCCAGAACAGGGGTTCTCAAGCTCCCAAGCAATCCACTTGAGAGTCTTCATGGATGACTTATGATCTTTTCCTGCCTGCTGTAGACACGCCGTGCAAGACGCTGTTTGATTTTTAACTGCATTTTTATTGCTTCTTTTATTTCTCGTGCATTGCGTTTTATTGCATTGCGATTGGAATTCCATAGCACTCAAACCGCAATACAATCAGATGCAGTACATAAGGAATAAAAGGAGCAATAAGAATGCAATTAGAAATCAATATGGACGTTTAAGGCAATGGAAGTGCCGTCTCCTGTCTTCAACCACAAAGCCACAGGCATGCCACATGGACCACCTTCCTTATGAAGCTCATTGTCTGCTGGTGGCTGGGAAAGTCTGTGCGCATTCATGTTGCCGGAAAATAGAATGAAGCAAAACCACAATTCTACCCTTTCCTCATTTGCACCAACAGAGTTGCTACCTGTTCCAAATTGTTACGGATCGTCCATACCTCAGAAGCCATAGCGCGATTTCCATGTTTTCTCCTAAAATCCCATTGGGCCACAGTGAATTTCACATGATTGGTAAATTATATATTTGACACTATGACAGAGAGCGAATTGAGTTATTTGTCTTCCCTTGGCATAGGGTGGCCATTGGCCCTGTGTCACTCTGATCCCAGACAGGGAACTTTCCCTTGGTGCTAGAAGATGTGAGGTCGGGGAGGAGAAAGGGAATGGGGGAGGGACAACCTTTGCATTGAAATGTCAAGCTACCTTTCCCATAAATCTTTCAAGGAAGGAAGGAAGGAAGGAAGGACAATATACTCCTGCAGGTCCAACTCATCCTGCTCGGCTGATGAAATGGATGGTTGGACAGCATGTAATTGCCAGGTTAGAATATGTCAATCCCCAGACTCTGTACCACATTGGGACCTTTAGCTAGAGATGTCACACAGCTGCAGTTCCCAGAGTTCCTTGGGAAGAGAGATGGATGTTAAACCACTCTAGGAACTGTAGCTCTAGGCAGGGAATAAAAAAGGTAAAGGGACCCCTGACCATTAGGTCCATTCGTGGCCGACTCTGGGGTTGCAGCACTCATCTCGCTTTACTGGCCGAGGGAACTTCCGGGTCATGTGGCCATCATGACTAAGCTGCTTCTGGCGAACCAGAGCAGTGCACGGAAACACTGTTTACCTTCCTGCCAGAGTGGTACCTATTTATCTACTTGCACTTTGACGTGCTTTCGAACTGCTAGGTTGGCAGAAGCAGGGACCGAGCAACGGGAGCTCACCCCATCACGGGGATTTGAACCGCCGACCTTCTCATCGGCAAGTCCTGGGCTCTGTTGTTTAACCCACAGCGCCACCCGCCCGCGTCCCTTAGGCAGGGAATAGGGGCTTCCTAACAATTTTCAACACCTTTAATGCACTACAGCTCCCATTATTATTGGCAAGAAGTGGTATCAAAGAGATTTATATGCCTGGCATGAATGCGGCCTCAAATTTTGTGGTGCTGTGGTCTAAACCACCGAGCCTATTTGGCTTATCAATCGTAAGGTTGGCAGTTTGAATCTGCATGACAGGCGAGCTCCCGTTGCTCTGTCCCAGCTCCTGGCTACCTAGAAGTTTGGAATCATACCAGCATGAGTAGATAAATAGGGCCTCTCTTGGAGAATCTACTCTGTTTTGGTGGATCTGCTCCCTTGACGGAGCACACATCCTATTTGCTTATGCTTGGGCAGTGTTGGACTACAGCTCCCATTATCCTTGGCTATTGGCCTTGCTGGCCAATGGGACCTGGAGTCCAAGAATATTTAGAATGCTGCAAGTTTCCCATCTGTGAGGTACTCTGGTTCCATAGATGCAAGTCAAGCAAATGCTAAAGAAAACCAGCCTAAGGAAACCAGACTTGGGTTTTGCACCCAAGAAACTACTCAACACTTCCGGAAAACTGCGAACGTGCAAAATGTCACACATACACCATACGTTTAAAGCACATGGTTTTCCCCAAAGAATTTTGGGGGTTGTAGTTTGTTAAGGGTT